TTTGCCCCCAACTTTCCTCCTCTGCCAGCCTGGTCACCCCTAACTGCCCTCACCTGCAGGGTTGATCGCTTCCAACTTTTCCTCCCTTGCAGGCCTGGTGCCTCCCAACCCCCCCCCCCCCCACCCATTGGCCATCTTGTGGTGGCCATCTTGTGTCCACATGGTGGCAGCTATATTGTGTATTGGAGTGATAGACAATCTGCATATTACTCTTTTATTAGATAGGATAGAGACCTGGTGCATGGGTGGGGGCCAGCTGGTTTATCCTGAAAGGTGTCCCAAATCAAGGTGGGTGTTCCCTTGGGGCATGGGGTAACCTGAGCCAGGGGCCTGTGGTGGTTTGCAGGCTAGCTATGCCCCCTGGCAACCCATGCGGAGGCCCTGGTATCTGAAATTTATTTACCTTCTACAATTGAAACTTTGAAGCCTGGAGCGGAGCCAAACCTCCTACTTGCTCTGTGGCTGGCAGCCATTTCTGTTTGGATTTGTTTACCTTCTATAATTGAAATTTTGTAGCCTTGAGTGGAGGCCTAGGCCTCCCAGGGTGTGTGGAAAGCTTGGCTTCCTCCATCGTCTGGGAAACCCAAGCCTCCCTTCTGCTCTCTGTGGCTGCAGCCATCTTGGTTTGGGTTAATTTGCATACTCGCTCTGATTGGCTGGTGGTCGTGACTGGTTGGTGTAGCTGAGGTATGGTCAATTTGCATATTACTCTTTTATTAGGTAGGATCAGCAAAGGCTAGCTCTGACTAACAGCACCTGGTTCTATCTGCCACACCAACAAGTGAGGATGACAGGCCTGGAGGCCTATAAAGGCAGAACCCAGTAGCATCCATGGCTCTTAGGTTGCATGTGTGGTGGGAACAGAGAGGGCAAGGCAATGGTGGAAGATCAGACCTCCTAAAATAGTTATATCTAGAGAAGTAAAATTTTAAATTCCTAGAGAAGAAATTCTGCAAAATTCTTATACTGTGAAGAATTAAATTTAAAATTAAATTTAGGATGTATAGACACACACTGTATTTTGGAAGTTAATCTACATTTCTATACATCAAGCTTTTTTAAAGCAAGGGAAACCTTTAAGCTGATGATCCCCTCTCTGGGGTCACTGTCATGGACAGAGAGAACTTTTCCTTAGAGCATGTAAATAGGTCTAAATGTTATTACCACACTGAGTCAACTCAATATAGCAGAGCAATTGTCAGAAGTTGCTTACCTCATTTCTAGAAAATGTAATTTCTATTTGAATGAACTTAAGGAAGATGAAGGAGTGGGAGGCTACCAGCAGGTTCCAAGGTCCCTACAATATTGTGGTTCTAGGGTGAGAAAAGAGCCTTGGAGATAACATGGTCACCTCTAATTTCCAAAACAGCAGTTAAGTAACTCCATACCCAGGACTACTCCCACCCATGCTGAAACACCTGGGAAAGAGCACAACCTGACAGCAGGCTCCTCTAGCAAGGGCTGCCAATCCACTGGAGCAGTGACTCCAGGAAAGCAGTGACTGCAAAGACTGTCTGCCAAGTCCAACAGATCCACAGTGATGATGGGCCTAAAGGCAGGCTGCAGGAAGAGGCGGTGGCCCCAGCCTTTCCTGGGAGCCAGCAGTCCTGGGTTGTGAGATGGATGTCCAACTGCCCTTTAAACAGGCAGTCGGACATCCTTCGAGGGGTCCCAGATTGGAGAGTGTGCAGGCTGGGCTAAGGGACACACACCCTTGTACCTCAGTTGCAGTCTCCATCCCAGAATTTGTGCACCAGGTCTCTAGCTACTATGTAATGGTCCATAGGAACCATTTATCTAAATGGTGTTTATAATGCTAAAAGGCAGATTGATTTTTCCCCTACCTCTGTATGTCTGCTTTTGAGAAAAACCTATTTTGAAAACAAACTAACCCATGTCACTAGTTAAAATCTTCCCTTTTTCTTTTTCACAGGGAAATAAATGAGTGATCAGTAATGATCAAACTGGGTAAAAGGTTCTGTTCCAATCAGTGGTTAGGATCCCAGACTATTTTGGTTAAAAAAATAAATACATGAAATAAAAATCATAAAGTAGCTGAGCTTGGGCAATAAGAGGTTCTAGGTCTTCAAACTAGAAACCCACACTGAGCAAAAGGCAGAGTAAATCATGTTACCTCCATTTGTTCACCTATAAAATGGATATAATATACTGTACTAAACTTTGATGACCTCACAAAAGTAAGAATCAATGAGATAATAGGTTTTGAAAAAGCTTTCACTTCTTCAAAGGAAAAGCATTAAGTAAATTCAGAGCATGATTATTATTAAAATGTAACACCCAATAATATGATGTAAATAAGCCATTGATGTTTCTTACTCTTTTAAGAACACTTCGATAACTTTTAAAATATTATTTTTTTAATTTCAGAGAAGAAGGGAGAGGGAGAGATAGAAGCATCAATGATGAGAGGGAATCATTGATAAGCTGCCTCTTCCACGCCCCACACTGAGGATCAAGCCCACAACCCAGGCATATGCCCTGACAGAATCTAACCGTGATCTCCTGGTTCATAGGTCACTCTCAACCACTGAGCCACTCTGGCTGGCCTTGATAGCCTTTTAATCTGTTCACATGGAGCCTGCTAGAAGCAACAGGAGGTAAACAGCAACTCTTCACAAAGCCCAGGTCAGAGGCAGAGCCCATCAAACTTAAGACTGCCCTTACTTGCCAGTCAGGCCTCTCCCATCCGGCCCAGCTCTGATGCCAGTGCCAGAAATTAGGAAAGGTTTATGGTTCCACTTGGACATGTCAAAGCAACAACCAAAATCCTCACCCACACACTATGCACCAGACCCACAGAGTTGTCCTTAAGTGTGTACCATCATTTCTGAAAAATTGCAATACAAGCTAGGAGGAAGTGCTCAATTTTTCCTTGTTTGATTTTCATTTCTAGGTCCAGAGGTTTGAGTTTCATTTTATTTATTTATTTATTTATTTATTTATTTATTTATTTAAAATATATTTTACTGACTTTCCACAGAGAGAAAGGGAGAGGGATAGAGAGCTAGAAACATCGAGCAGAGAGAAACATCGACCTACTGGGGATGTGCCCGCAACCAATGTACATGCTCTTGACCGGAATTGAACCTGGGACCTTTCAGTCCGCAGACCAATGGTCTATCCACTGAGCCAAACCGGTTTCGGCTGAGTTTCATTTTTAACCTAACATAAAAATTATAATGTGAGAGCTACAGATTAGGGTGAGAAGAAGACTGAAAGGGCTAATTTTCCTAACTTAAGAGGAGAGCATGCAATCAAACTGCATCCAATTTCATCATCCACAAATGTTCAGAGAGAAAAAAGATTACTTACATTTATTAAACATCTGCTATGTACTCTAGAGCCTATTTTCTCTCCTACACTTAGAAACACCACAAACAGCCATCACCAGGGAGGGAACTATACCAAGAAGATGGGGGTGGAGGAATCACAATCTGGTAATCAAGTCCTAGGTATTTCAATGGTTAGTGTTGTGAACACAAAGAGTATTGGCTAAAACCAAGTTCAAGTTCCTAAAGATCCTTTGCAAGAGGAACTCCCAAACAGAATTCCTAAAATTCTGGAATTAACTCGTGCTATTTAATGTACTATTTTAAAAGTTTAAAAAAAAAATTTAAGCCTGGATCACAAGAATTCAATGTAGGGATAAAACAACATGAGCCAGATTTCTGACTCGAGCACATCTGACAAATACGGAATTCATAAGATCTTCTTAAAGGCCTTTTACAGATGTGCTCACAGGGAAAGGCAACCACAACAATGAAATGGCATATGTGTGGCCAGGTAATGAGAGCAAAGCCTTCCTGCTGGCAGCAACAATTCTCACTTTTCTCACTAAAAAACCCAACTCATTCTCACTCCTGGGTTACAAGCTTTTATCCTAAATGATTGTCTATGTTGAAAACTGTCAGATGGGACCAAATACACATTGGTGTTCTGATGTTTAAATGCCATTCCCACATCCCACTAAGAAAAGAAGTGATAAGCCTTAAAAAAAAAAAAAAAAAAAAAAAAAAAAAAGACACTATTTACAATACACCTCCAATCCTCTGCACTTCATGTAAACCATTAACATTCCTCTGCATTAACGCATTTCATGTAAACTATAATTAACGTTTGCGTGTTCACCAACATTCAAAGAACATAAATATGGTTCGTATTCAGTGGAAACGCTTTCCCTGAATTATGACTGTGGAGAAAAATCGGCCAAGATATAAGGCCAGTCCATGCCCCTGGACAGGATGAGGTAAGAGGTCCTGCCTGAGGGCCCAACAAACTGCGATGGCTAGCTTACCATCCTCCCAGAACCCCACAGCTCATGCTGCCACAGCGTCTGCTTCCGGTTAACACCCGGTGAGCCTCTGATCTGAGTACAGGGTTTCTTGAGGTGATTTGTAAAGTAGGAATTTCCAATGTGCCACGCAGACCTCCAACAGCGAGGTCTGGTGAAACAGTTAGGGAAGTGGGAGAGGGTGGCTCATAGATAAGTGATGCATGTGGCCCTGTCCGAGAAAATAAAAGGAAAAAGAACTTGAGGGTCCTTTCCTGGACATCTTCCACACAGACCGCAACAGCCCACTCAATCTCCGCCAGGCCTGCAGGCCAAGGCTCTCAGGACAGGACCGCCCCGTGGAGGCTGACGATCCGCCTGGCCACAGGCGACTGAGGAGGATCCAGTCCTCAGCTCCGGAGAAGGCCGGAGGCCCAGCAGCGGGGAGGCCCCACCCACCACCAGCCTCCAGAACCTGCACCAAATGCATCCCACTCTCCAAGTCCCACTTCCACAAAGTGCTGAAACCTCCCTGGGACTCGGGACCCGCATGTCTGCGCCGCACCCAATTCCAGGGACCCTGAGGCCGGCCCCGCCGGAAAAGGGCTTGGGAAGTCCGCCAGAGGAGGCGCCAGCCACACAGTGGCCCCGCGCCCTCGGACTGCCAGGGCGGCAGCGCCTCGGCCACATATCGGGTAGTTGTGATCACCTGCTCCAGGCCGCCCGCCGTCGTCCGCGGAAACCCCGAGCTCGGGGTGCAGCCCAGTCCTCACATCCGCCTCATGCTGCTGTGTTCACCTGGCGCCAGCGACCTCTGGCCGGCCCTGGCCACTACCTAGCAGCCCGGCAGCATCCGCGAAGGCCACTACACGGAGCGGGCAGCCCAGGCAGCGATGAGGCTGCCGGCTGGGAGGGCACTTGGAAGGGCAAGGGCTGCAGCCCTCCAGCGCGACCAAAGGACCCCAGCCTTGGGGGTGACAGATCTAACTGCACTTCGGGAAGTGCCACGTAGCTCTCATATTCCGAGACGCTGTTGCTACCTGCAGACTCCAACAGTGTCAGAATCTCACGGTTACGGGCAAAAGGTAAATAAATAAGCAGTCTCCTCCCAAGTCCCCTTTTCTACTCCCCCCCTGCACGGTTCACATGGTACATTCCTCAAAGCCGGGTCCTGGCGACAGAGAGCAGTGGATTGGTTGGGAATCTTGGAAAGGGACTAGGAGACACCAATGGGAAAACGTGGTGGGCTGCCAGATGAGGAAAAGAGAGGATGCACTTAAAGGGGACTCGTTTGTTGTTCTCAGTACCCGCCTCACAGCAAAACTAGAATGTTCTTCCTTATCCTATCCAGGTGGAAAACAAAGAAATTAGGAGAATCCTCAAATTTTGGGGTTAGAGAGCTAAAAGAAAATGTGGACAGAACTGAACCAGATATAAGTGTGTGACTTTCGGTAGGCTATTCCATTCTCTCGGACTCAGTTTCCTCATCTAATACAATGAAGACATTAAGCAAGAAGTAATCTCTATTGGTCCTCATATTTTGTGATCCTATGATCCTTTTTAGGGGATTGACAATATTTACTCTTCAATATTCTTCCATGTGGGTATGCTCCACCATCCTAAAGAACTTTGGTTGGAAGTTGGTAGACTTTCTGACACCAAATCCTTTACAAAGACAGTATCAACCACATCTTTTGTAAAGACAAATTAAATATTATTTCTGAGTCCCTGCTCTCTTAAAATAGAGCATTTTTCTTATTCTTTCTTATATGTGGAGAGTCCACCCTCCCCGTATAAGAAAAATCTCATAATTTCTACTTTTCTAAGAGTCTCCTCTTCCTCTTCTCTCCTCACCCACATAATTAGACAAAACTTTAATTAATACTCATTTGCCTGTTAAACTGTCCAGAATCCCTGTCTTTAACAACAAATCTCACTGATCAGTCCTCATTACAATTAATAAAGTGCTCCTCTCTATCTGAAGTCTGTGAAGGCCAGTCAGCTATGCATAACCAAATATGCTTTCAGTCATGCTACTTGTCAAATTTAAGACTTTGAAAACACCCTCTTGAAACCTAGTCTGCTCTATTTTAGAGCAAGTGGTCAGGCCTCATTTAGGCTATCAAGCTTCTTTTTTCAGAATTTTTAAACCTCCCATCATCTGGTCACTCCTACATCCACTCAACCTTCTTCCAAATTTTATCAGTTGTTTGGATATCATTTCTACTCCCAGACAGACAACTAATCTATTATTCAGAGAGCTCTGGAAAGTCCAGTTCCTCCATGAAGTCTTCTTAGGTTGATTAGCAGAAGCTGCTAGTTTACAGAGCTCCCATTACTATTCTGAGCCCCCATAACACTGATTTTCTGCCCCAATATGCAATTTTTATTAACATATTTACTTCTCTCATTCATTTAAAACAGCAGTTTACATTTATTAAATGCTAGGCACTGTTTGAAGTGCTTTTCATGCACTATTTCACTTTACCTTGTGTCAACTCTATGAAAAGTTGTTATTCTTCCTGTTTATATAAATAAAACTAGAAGGCCCAGTGCACAGATTCATACATTGGTGGGGTCCCTAAGCCTGGCCTGCATCCTCTCACAATACTGGACCCTTTGGGGGATGTCAGAGTGGCGGTTTTGTCCTGATCTCCACAGGCCTGGTCCAGACAGGAAGGAGCCTGATCCTGTGCATTCAGTGATCAGTGCATATCATAGTGACCAATGGACTGGTGGAACAGTCAAACATTGAATGGTCACTTAGGCTTTTATATATATAAACTAGAGGCACGGTGCACAAAATTCATGCAGGGGGTGGGTGTCCCTCAGCCCAGTCTGAACCCTCTCCAATCTGGGACCCCTTGAGGGCAGTCAGACATCCCTCTCACAATCCAGGATTGCTGACTCTCAACTGTTTGCCTTCCTGCTTTCCTGATTGCCCCTAATCACTTCTGCCTGTCAGCCTGATCACCTCCTAGCCACTCCCCTGCCAGCCTGATTGATGCCTAACTGCTCCTCTGCCAGCCCTATTGCCTCTAACTGCCCTCATCTGCAGGTCTGGTCACCCCTAACTGCTCTCCCCTGCAGGGCCGGTTGCCCCCAACTTCCCTTCTCTGCTGACCTGGTCACCTCTAACTGCCCTCCCTTGCAGGCTTGACTGCCCCCAACTGCCCCCAACTGCCCTCCCCTGCAGGCTTGGTCCCTCCCAAATGTGCTCCCTTGCTGGCCTGATTGCCTAAAACTGCCCTCCCTTGCAGACCTGGTCCTTCTCAACTGCCCTCCCCTGCAGGCAATTTTGTGGTGGCCATCTTTGTGTCCACATGGGGGCAGCCATTTTGTATGTTGGAGTGATGATCAATTTGCATATTACTCTTTTATTAGATAGGAGGAGGCATATAGAAGCTGATTTTCCTAAGTGTACATAGTGAGGGTCTAACTCTTCATAACACCACAATAAATACTGTCTCCAATATCTTAAGAACCTAATGCATTCCATACAAAAGATAATGTCGTATGTTTATAACATGTTTTACATTTATTTTTATACCTATTATATAATTTTAGTTTCAAAATAATCATGTGGTGAGGGTTAGGAGCAGTTTGTTTACAGGCAAGGAAGAAAGCTACATCTCAGAATGGCTGGCCAGTAGGCTAAGGTAATAAGCCTGGTGAATAATGAGTCTGTTTTTCCAAGTTGCATATTTTTCTTACTGAAATCCTTTAGTTAGCACAACTTTTTCTTTGTATCAAGTAGAAAATGATGGTAGCAACAAGGGAACAAATAAAACATAGTAAAACTCACATCACGGGATCCAGGGACTTTGGTACAAATTCTTACTGTGGGAACAACACTAGTCAAGGAAGGCTTCCGTAGAAGGAGAAGCACTGTGTATTTCTTTTTATAGCCACTTGTTTTTATTCTATCAATAAGGCCAGGCCTTTGATGCATCTGGCAAATTTAATAGCAAAGGGCAACAAAAACTATCCACTGCCTATAGTGACTGGAAATAGAATCTGCCCCATGCCTTTGAGGAAGAGATTGCTATGTGCAGCAACGCTACCCAGCAATTCAGGTAAGTTTCCAACTTGCTGTTTAGTAAAATATCCTACTCCATTTACAGTTGTAATACTGAAATATAAGCTGAGCGAATGGTTTCAACTGATTTTTTAAAAAACTGTCGAAATTCTCACAGGGGTGGACACACTAGCAAAATACAAAGTGTGAGAGCCAGTAAGGTTTTAATATCTATTAAGAAGACTCAGCATGGTAATTCTGAAACCAGTACTTCTGAGTTACTCTTTGCCTGGCTCAGCCCTAGTCAGTTCAGTTAATTTTCTACTCCCATAGCTCTCTTGTCTTCTCAACCTCAGAGAGCTCTAAAATATCTCTGTTTATTTGAGTGTTTTACTTATGCATTCTAACATTTATTGGGCACCTACTATGAATAAAGAACTCTCAGGTTGTGTGGGGTTATCCTGAGAGATCACATGCATGGCTGATAGTTACTAACTGAATGAGGGTGATAAACATCAAATCCATTTGGTGAGGAACAGTTAAACATACCCTAGAGTAGGAGAAAGAGCACTAGGCTGAGTTCTGGGGGAGGAGAAGGGAAGAGGAGATGGGCATGTGTGATGAGGAGAGAGGTTGAGACATACATGCCCATCTCCTCTTCTTATATTTTATTTGTATATGTGTATGTATCATTTTTTTAATCTCACTTTTAAACAAAATTTGATCAAACTACCTTGCAAACTACTTTTCCCTTTAGACTAGGAATTTTGCTATAGCAACATAGTCTAAAACATGATTTTATTTATTGTTTTAAAATTTAATAAATCTTTATTGTTCAGATTATTACACTTTTTCCTCTTTTCCCCAATAGATCCTCTCCACCTGGTTCCCACCCCACCCTCTGCCCTTACTTCCCCCCCCGTCCTCATCCATAGGTGTACAATTTTTGGCCAGTTTATTAACACACCCACCACTCCCCTTTTCCCCCAAGAATTGTCAGTCTACTCTATTTGAGTTCATAATCTTCAGTCTTAATTTTTGTGCAACATTGTTTTTCAAGAAGATGTTTCTATTTTTAAATAATCAGATGGAATAATTAGATTAAAAATGAAGTGTAATATGAATATTACAGTAAAGAAGCAATGGACATATACTAAAAATGTTGCATGTTTTGTTCACAAATTTGTTTTAAAGTATCTGTTTATTGGTCCTAGCAAGTTATTCTAATCTTCATATGCCTATTCTCTATTAGATAATAATTTTACTTTGACACTATGAGATTTAATAACTATCTTCATATATTTTAAATAGGAAAGTATAAAATTTGTTGTGGTGGTTTTTATTCGGCTTAGAATGTGCGAGCTAGGAAAATAATATTTGTTGATCAGGGCATGTCACCATCATAATAGACATTCAAATATAAACTTATTTAAATATTTTATCATATTAGGTCAACTAATGAATGAGCAAATATTTTACTTTCATTAAAGAAAAGGTTAAGAAAAGTGATATCCACTTTGATAGAACATACTATTTTGGGGAAAGGATATTGCTTGGTTGAAGTTGTAATTATGTTTGATTATTTGAGTCAGTGTCATAAACAGTTTTACTTTTTTGTTATTAAAGGAAGTGGCCCACTTCCTGTTACAACTGTATAATATTTGATATTCAGTCATAAAAATGTTTATTTTGGTTTAAATTTTAATGTTTAACTCACATTTGATTAATCTGTACAAAAACATCTTGAGAGTGAGAGGTTTGTGATACAGAAGCAAGACACAGAGTCCAGGCGACTAAAGAGGGGGGAGGTCTCCGTCCTTGTCCATGCATCACTGGAAGGAAGGGAGGGAGATGCCAGCTGAGAGTAGAGAGAGGAGGGGGAAAAGTGGGAGAAGCAGGATGAGAAAGGGGTGCAGGAGAAAGGAGGAGATGAGCACCAGAAGAGAGGAGCGTTAGGGGTGTCGGAGAGCCCAGAGCCCCAGCCCGCCCGCCCATCCATCTGCCCACGCCTGGGACCCACCGGGCGTGATGTCCAAGTCCC